TCAAAAAAAAAAAAAAAAAAAAAAAAAAAAAATTCCTCGTTCTACTCTAGTCTAATAATTTTTTAAAAAATAATGTTAAGGGCCGGGCGCCGTGGCTCACGCCTGTAATCCCAGCACTTTGGGAGGCCGAGGCGGGCAGATCACGAGGTCAACAGATAGCGACCATCCTGGACAACACGGTGAAACCCCCATCTCTACTAAAAACACAAAAAAATTAGCTGGGTGTGGTGGCACGCCCCTGTGGTCCCAGCTACTCGGGAGGCTGAGGCGGAAGAATCGCTTGAACCCGGGAGGCAGAGGTTGCAGTGAGTCAAGATTGCGCCACTGCACTCCAGCCTGGTGACAGAGCAAGACTCCATCTCAAAAAATAATAATAATAATACAAATAATAATAATAATGTTAAGGTCAGACGCCTTCTACCACCTAAAACGATAAGACCCCAACAGAGAAGTGGAGGCTGGAAGGGCTCTGGAGTTTGCACGTTAGAGGGAGGAAACCAGGCGAGTCACAGAAGCGCTGCCTTTGCATTCAGTTTCTGTCCCAGGAAGTCTCCCAGCCCAGATCCCGACTCAGGCTGCCCAGGAGCACAACTAAAGCCGCCCAACCGGAGAAGCCAGAGCCCCATGGCCCGACGCTGCCAGCTCCAGGAGCAGGACAAGCGCGCACGAGACGTGCGGCCAGGCTGGAAGCCTCGCTGCCTCCCCCTCCCGTTCGCAGGGACCCAGGGCCCAGCGCCAGCCCGGGTTCCCTAGCGCTCGCCGCGTCCTGACCCCGCCCCCGGCGAGCACGTTTCCAAAAACTGACACAAGTCGAGCGCGCGCGCGGGAGTCGCAGCGCGCGCGGGGATGCCCGGGCGGGCCCCGCAGGCGCGCCCCCCAAAACACGAGACCCAGACACGCTGGCCGACATCGCCTGCTTCACTTTTCGCCTAAAAGGGACCCGCAGCGTGGCCAGAGGGTCCCAAGCGCAGACGCCTGCGCCCCGCCTCCCCAGGGACCACGCCGGGACGCGCACCCCGGGAGCCGCACGCGGGTTTCTGGAGCCACCGGGGGAGGGGGGAGGGTGCCTCTGTAACATTCCACCCAGCCTGTCATTTTCCAACGGTCACCAAGATGAAGGAGACAAAATTACCTAACTCCCGGGGTCAGCCCAGTCCTGCCCACTTACGATTGGGGGACAGAAAGAACTCCCAGTTTCCAAGGGTCACGCCAGTCCCACCCACTGCGATTCAAAAGTCAGATTCCCACTTTCCCAGGGCCAAGGCAGCCCACACCCGATCAAGACGACGGGGGCAAAAATTCCCAATTTCCAAAGGTCAGACCGCTCCCGCCCACTCAAGGGGACGGCATTTCCCACCTTCTCAGGGTCGGGCCCGCCGTGCCCGGGTAAGAAGAGTGGAGCAAACGCCTAATTGTAAAAAGTGGAGCGAGGACAGGAAAGGGTGCCCTCAAAAAGCGAAATCAGGCGGCGGGGCACACTGACAGCGCCGGGAACGAGCCGGGCGGCCGGGCTTCCCGTCAAAACGCGCCTGGCACGAGAAACCCCTCCCGTTCGGCGCCCGGGACAGCCCGGCGGGGGCAACAGCAGCGCGGCCGGGCTCGGGGGGCGCCGGCTCCTGCTCCCACGCCGGGCACCAGCGGCTCCCGCCCTGCGGGAAACGGTCGTCCGGCCGCTCGGCGGGGAAGCCACGGTGGTCCCGGGCAGCGACAGTCCGGGAGCTCTGTTCCGCAGGGAGAACCGGCGCGCGCGGCTACGGGAGCTGGGGCGTCCCCGGGGGCGGCGGGGGAGGGGAGGCCGGGAGGGAGGGACGGCGGGGGAGCGGCACTCACGTAGACCGGTAGCGGCCACGGGTAGACGGCGGGCTCGGCCCCCACGGGCGACTTGAGCCTCAGCTCCAGCTTCTCCCCCATGTCCGCGCGCGCGGCCGCCGCACCATGCTAGGCGGGCGGTTGGGGGAGGGGCGGGGCCGCCGGTGGGCGGAGGAGGGCGGGCGGGAGGGAGGGGCGGGAGGCTGAGGAGAGGGGGCCTGGCCTCGGCCTCGGCCGCCGCCGCCGCCGCCGCCGCGCTCCGGTCCGGCCCCCGGCTCCCTCTTTGTGGTCACAGGCCCAGGGCCTCCAGCGCCGCCGCCATCTTGGGCCGGCGTGAGGCTAGCACAATGAGCCGGGGGCCGGGCAGAACCACTCGCCGCGCGCGCGAGGGGGGGCCCGGAGCGAAGAGGCCGGCGCGCGCCCGCCGCCCAACAGGCAGCCCCGCGCGCGCCACCCCCCCGGCGTCCCGCCCCGTGGACTCGCCCGCCCGCCCGAATCCACGCACGCACGCACGCACGCACGTACGTCCTCGGTTGCCCTCGGCCGTCCCCTCCCCCCACTCGCCGGCCCGAAGCGGAGACCCGGGGAGATCCTGTGGGCGGGCCAGTGTGGTGGCGAGTTCGAATCCCGTCCGAGGAGGAGGACGCCGAACACCTCCTCACACACTGCTTAGTAAAACCAAAAATCCTCATTTAGTGTAAGAGCCACGGTCCAGGATCCGCTCTAACTCCAAGCCCAGGACTCATTCGACAACAATGCTGTTTATTGGGTTAAAAAAAAGAATGAATAAGATCTAGTATTTGGGCCAGGTGTGGTGGCTCAGGCCTATAATCCTAGAACTTTGGGAGGCCAAGGCGGGTGGATAGACTTGAGGTCAGGAGTTTGAGACCAGCCTGGCCAACACGGTAAAACCCTGTCTCTACTAAAAATGCAAAAATTAGCCGGGCGTGGTGGTGGGCGCCTGTAATCCCAGCAACTCCAGCGGCTGAGGCAGGAGAATCACTTGAACCCGGGAGGCAGAGATTGCAATGAGCCAAGATCGAGCCACTGTACTCCAGCCTGGGTGACAGAGCGAGACTCCATCTCAAAACAAAACAAAACAAAAATAAATAAATAATGAAAATAGATTCCCCTGGTGGCCATAAGGACAGATTGGGAGATCGAAGGGGGCTGGGCATAAAGGAAGCAGCTGAGAGAAGAGTTGGGGTCGTGCTTGAACCCATGAGGCGGCGGAGGTTGCCGCAAGCCGAGATGACACCATTGCACTCCAGTCTGGGCGACAGAGCGAGACTCTGTCACCAAAAAAATAAAACAACCTTGCACAGTGGCAGTATCGTATAGCCAATGAGGAGGTTTTTTTTTTTTTTTTTTGAGAAGGAGTTTCGCTCTTGTTACCCAGGCTGGAGTGCAATGGCACGATCTCGGCTCACCACAACCTCCGCCTCCTGGGTTCAGGCAATTCTCCTGCCTCAGCCTCCCGAGTAGCCGGGACTACAGGCACGCGCCACCATGCCCAGCTAATTTTGTGTATTTTTAGTAGAGACGGGGTTTCACCATGTTGACCAGGATGGTCTCGATCACTTGATCTCATGATCCACCCGCCTCGGCCTCCCAAAGTGCTGGGATAACAGGCGTGAGCCACCGCGCCCAGCCAGCCAATGAGGTTTAAACGAGACGCGATTACGGCTAATTGAAAACTTTTCCCCTTAACCCTAACCCTAACCCTGGGCTCACCGAAACCTCCGCCTCCCAGGTTCAAGCCAGTCTCCTGTCTCAGCCTCCTGCATAGCTGGGATTATAGGCATGCACCACCAATACCCCACCATGATGACTTGAAATATACTCAGCATTGGCAAGTTTTGGCAGTCTCTACGGGGACTGAAAAAAAAAGTTTAAAAAAAAAAAACAACTATAAGTTTCTCCCAAAGTGAGTTCAGCCTACGCCCAGGTATGAACAAGGACAGCCAGCGTGGAGGTTAGAAGTGAGAGGGAGTCAGTTGCGTTAGATAGAGCTCTTTCAGTATTGCAGCCGTAATTTTGCCAAGGCAGTTTCACCACCAGCACCTCCCCAAGTCCCCAGGAAAGACCAACACCCTCCCTGCCTGGCCAAGTTCCAGCCCTGCCCCACCCCTTCCATGCTGGGTGACCTTGGGCGCGTCACTTGACCTCTGAGGCTTTCCTCTGCTCAGCGATGGAGTCCCGCTGATGGAGTCCTGCCGTCACTGCCACAGCGCCTGGTGATTAAAGCCTTTGACTGTCAAGCACAAAAGTCCCTTCTACTGTTTTTTTTTTTTGTTTGTTTGTTTGTTTGTTTTTTTGAGACGGAGTTTTGCTCCCGTTACCCAGGCTGGAGTGCAATGGCGCGATCTCGGCTCACCGCAACCTCCGCCTCCCGGGTTCAGGCAATTCTCCTGCCTCAGCCTCCTGAGTAGCTGGGATTACAGGCACCCGCCACCATGCCCAGCTGATTTTTTGTATTTTTAGTAGAGACGGGGTTTCACCATGTTGACCAGGATGGTCTCGATCTCTTGACCTCGTGATCCACCCGCCTCGGCCTCCCAAAGCGCTGGGATTACAGGCTTGAGCCACCGCGCCCGGCCCTGTTTTTTGGTTTTTTTTGGTCTGTTTTTTGAGACAGTCTGGCTCTGTCGCCCAGGCTGGAGTCCAGTGGCACCATCTAGGCTCACTGCAGCCTCCGCCTCCCAGGTTCAAGCGATTCTTCTGCCTCAGCCTCCAGAGTATCTGGGATTACAGTCATGCGCCACCACGCCCTGGTAATTTTGTATTTTTAGTAGAGATGGGGTTTCTCCATGTTGGTCAGGCTGGTCTCGAACTCCCGACCTCAGGTGATCTGCCAACCTCGGCCTCCAGAAGTGCTGAGATTACAGGCATTCCTTTTTTTATAAAGCCCCCAAACTCCTCTTTGGTCTCATGTATGCCTCAAATTGCAATTCTTTCTTGCCAAATAAAACATTCGCTTGAGAGATTCATCTCTACACTTTTAGTTTGACCCAGACATTTTTTCCTCGTGGAAAGAAAAGAGCATCATTTATCTGAGGAATGCAAGTTCCTTTTAATTATGAGGCCCAGACAGACATTAAATTGAGCCAGCAATCACACCCTCGCCCTCTCTGAGCTAAAACTGCTTCAGCTGGTGTGTTGGCTCACACCTATAACCCCAGTATTTTCGGAGGTCCCTGTCGAAGGATGATTTAAGACCAGGGTTTCAGCGGGGCCCGCTGGCTCATGCCTGTAATCCCAACACTTTGGGAAGCCAAGGCGGGCAGATCATGAGGTCAAAAGAGCAAGACCATCCTGGCCAACATGGTGAAACCCTGTCTCTACTAAAAAAAATTAGCTGGGCGTGGTGGTAGGCACTTGTAATCCCAGCTACCAGGGAGACTGAGGCAGAGAATCCCCTGAACCCGGGAGGCGGAGGTTGCAGTGAGCTGAGATCGTGCCCCTGCACTCCAGCCCGGGTGACAGAGATTCCGCCTCAAAAAAAAAAAAAAAATCGGGGGTTTAAGATCAGCCTGAGCAACATAGCAAGACCCCATCTCTAAGAAAAATATAGGGCCGGGCGCGGTGGCTCAAGCCTGTAATCCCAGCACTTTGGGAGGCCAAGGCGGGTGGATCACGAGGTCAAGAGA